AGCAGCTACTTTTGGAATTGGCGATGGTGCAACTTTGATGAAAATTACACAAAGAATTTTTAGTGTTTTTATAACACTATTGCCGAAGTACATCGTATGGCCAAGCTCATCAGAGCAGGAACAAATAAAAAGTGACACGTACAATGAATTACCGTTTTGCATTGGCTATATTGATGGCACCGAAATAAAAATTGCAGAAGCACCACAAATTAATCATGAAAAATATTTTTCAAGAAATCACATTTATTCCATTAAACTTCAAGCTGTTTGTGATTACAAATTAAGAATAAGAGATGTTGTTGTTGGTTATCCCGGCTTGACTCACGATGCTAAAGTTTTTTCAAACTCAATACTTTTAACAGAAAAAGATCGATTTTTTTCTAATCAATCATGGATTGCTGGTGAAAATATTCTAATATTTTTAAATTTTCCTCATTTCTCCATTTTCGTACTGGATTTTTTCTTTTCCGTGTTTTTGTTTGTACATTATTCACTAAATTAAATCATTTTAATTCAAAAATTGTATTTAATTTATTAACTTACTTTTGCCAAATGTCATGCTCTTCACTTAACACAATATTTAATATTAATCAAAACCAAAAACAAAACAAATTTTAAATGCTGCCCATACGAAATGCTTAGTATAAATACATTTTCGGAGTAAAATTTTTTCTTATGTATAAGAAATATGGCAACATTGAAAAAAGAGTAAAAGTGCAACGCAAATGTTAGTCAAACCAAAAGCTTGACTAACGTAGTAACATTGCAACGCATTACTAGACATGTATTTTGTTGTTGCTGCGTTGCACTTTTAATACGTTACTCGGTTACCGAGCGCGTTACTCAAACTCGTGAATAACCCTATTATGTTTAACACGTAACGCATAATTTAATTTTACTAACTGTTACAACTTTAATATAATCTAAAATAAAATATATTAATTTTATTTAATATATATATTATATTAAAATAACTCACAAGTAACACACCGCATCTGCATCGGTAACACACGGAATGCATCTGAAATTATTATTACAATTAACAAAAAAAAAAAAATAAAGAAATGTATTTAAACAAGTGAAGAATATACGCACCTTATTTACTCACTATTTATATATATATATTATTTTTGTTTGTTTTATTAATTTTTGTTTTATCTTTTTTTTATTTATTTATTAATAAATAAATATAAATAATAAAAGCACAAACACCGGCACTATATAAACAAAAACAAGTTTGTAGACAAGACAAGAAACGCAAAGCTTGAAAGCTTTGGTTGAACTAAATACAAAGCACGACGAATTCAAGAACGCACGAAAACACAAAGCACAGAAATCACACCCAAGCGAATACCAACGGCAAATGTACCGATGCACTACAGGAAAAGCTTCGGTTGTTTGAGTATAAATAAACGCGCATTGTACAAGCAGGGAGACTTTGCTCTGTGAATTCAGACAAGAAACAAGTCCCGGTCAGGCTTATTCAGCCTACTGGTCAATTCGATCAAAATTTAGCGTTCAGGCTTGTTGAGCCTAACTGGTCAATGCCATCAAACTACGATAACCCAGGTTCGTTGAGTCTTCTGATCCATTGGATCATTTGTTATTAAATTGTTCCTAACTAACCTGGCTCATTCAGTTACATTACGTTCTATACAGGTTTTTCAGCACTACTAGGGGTTGAGATCCAGATTACAGCAAGGAGTACATACGTAGCTTCCAACACTTCCGTAGGTCGATTTCATCCTAGAAGACAAAGCCGTGTGTATTTTTCTTTTATCTATTTCCGGTGTACCAAGGCTGTGTTATATAAATATTAACTTCGAATTTATGAATTAGCTTTAGAATTAATTAAATCTTTAGTATATTCCACGCCGTATGTAACGAACGACTGACTCGTGCACAAGTGCTGTTGCTCTATATATGCATTCATTGCGTGTCCGTGCTTCGTGTTGTTCATATGTTCTAGCATGCACATGTTTGGCTGGTGCTGCGAACGTGCACATGTTTGGCTTGCTGCTACAGTACCCCACTCCTAGCGGGGGAGCGCATGTGATACCGCGCTATCGCCTTGTTATCGCTCTATTTGGTGAATACGCTCAACTTGGCCGGAAAGTGCACTGTTCTGCCTGCGCGTGTGACCACAGATCTGGTTTCCTGCTGGTCTTTGAGGACGGGTTCGACTCCTGGTGCTTGTACTGAAGGCGGTTCGGTTGTTCTGCTGCTGTCAATGCCATCTGAAGTCATGAATGCTGGTTTCAGCCTATCTGCTGCTACTGTGACGTCTTTATCTTTCACGCTGATGACGTAGTTTTTCTCATCGCGACTGACTACTCGATAAGGGCCCTCGCAAAGCTGTTCTAACGGTGCCCGAACGCGATCGATGCGTAGGAATACATACTTGCTCTCTGACAGCTCGCTGGGTACAAAGACTGGTTGTTGACCGTGTCGCAGTCCAGGTTGAGTTCGTACATTACCTAAGTTTCTGCGCAGTAACTTTACGAAGTCTGTTTCGCTTGGTTTGATTTTGATTTCTGTCAGCAACTGTCCCGGGACTCTGAGAGGGTTGCCGTATAACATCTCTGCCGGACTGGCGTTTATGTCTGCTTTCGGCGCTGTACTGAGGTCCAACATTACTAAAGGAAGAATTTGGGTCCAGTTACTGGAATCGTGACAACGTATGGCTGCTTTCAGTGTTCGGTGAAACCGCTCGACCATGCCATTGGCTTGGGGGTGGTAGGCAGTTGTGCGCCAATGCTTTATTCCTAGTAGTTTCGTCACCTCTGTAAATATAGTAGACTCAAATTGACGTCCTAAGTCGGTTGTGACTGCATGCGGAGTGCTGAAATGTGAAACCCAGCCATCAATGAATGCTGCTGCCACCTCTTCTGCTATAATGCCTACTATTGGAATGGCTACTGGCCAACGCGAAAAACGATCAATACATGAGAGAATATAACGCTTTCCTTGCGACGGTGGCAATGGACCCACTATATCCATGTGAATATGTTGAAATCGGCCATCTACCGTAGAAAAAAAACCGATAAGCATACGGGTATGGCGTTGAACCTTGGATTTTTGACATACAACGCACCTTCGGACGAAAATTGCTATATCTTTAGCTATACCGGGCCACACGTATTTTGTTTGGACGAATTTGAGAGTTACTCTGATTCCGGGATGAGACAAAGAGTGAAGCTTGGACAATACCTGCTGCCTGCAATTTGCTGGAACGTATGGGCGAATGTGGGTGCTGGAAACATCGCAGTACAGTTCAACGTCTGAATCTGGTAGTTTCCACTTTTTTAATACTAACGTTTTTCCGGGCTGGTCGTCTAACAATTTCTGCAGCTCTGGGTCTGTTGTTTGTTCAACCGCAATTCTTTCCATCTCGCTTGCTTCACACTGGACTGCTGCAATTCGAGAAAGGGAGTCTGCTACCACATTATCAGCTCCCGCTATGTGACGGATATCGGTCGAATATTGGCTCACAAACTCTAGTTGTCGTGCTCGTCTAGGAGATGCTTTTTCGCTTGCTTGCTGAAATGCATACGCGAGTGGTTTGTGGTCGGTGAATATTATGAACTCGCGACCTTCTTACGCATACCGGAAATATTGGACAGCTTGATAAACCGCTGTCAACTCTTGATTATAGGCGCTGTATTTCATTTGAGCTGGACTCAATTTTCTTGAGTAGAACGCCAATGGCTGCTGCACTCCTTTTACTACTTGCTGGAGAACGGCCCCAACTGCATCTCCTGAGGCATCAGTTGTAAGAGTCAGCTGTGCATCTGGCGCCATAAAGCTAAGCAGGGCGGCCTGCGCCAGTTCATCTTTACACTGCTGAAACGCCGCCACGGCATCAGGCGTCGAGGGGATTGCTGTTTGATCATTTTTGCGGTTGCCAGGCGGTAGCGAAAAAAGCATTGTTGACTGTGAGCGGCACCTCGCAAGAATGGGCGATAGAAGTTTATCATGCCTAGAAACTGCCGCAACTGCTTAACGGTTTTAGGTAGCGGGAACACACGTACAGCCTGCACTTTACTCTCTGTGGGGCGAAATCCTTCGGCTTCAATCATATATCCCAGAAACTCGATCTTCTTCTGGCCAAACTCACACTTATCGAAATTCACTGCTAATCCAGCTTGCCTTAAGCGTTCGAACACTTCACGTAAGTGCTGTTCATGCTCTACGTCGTTCTTAGATGCGATGAGGATGTCATCAATATAAGCGAATGCGAAGTCTAAGTCACCCAACGTCTGGTTGATGAATCGCTGGAACGTTTGAGCTGCATTGCGGAGTCCGAAGGTCATAAATTTGAATTCGAACAAGCCGAACGGGGTTATAATGGCGGTCTTTGGTATGTCCGCGGCTGCTACTGGAATCTGATGGTACGCCTTCTGCATATCTATCTTTGAGAACACAGTTTTTGCCTGTAGGATAGACGTCACGTCATGTATAAATGGAATTGGGTAGCGGTCGGGCTTCGTCTGTGCGTTTAGCATTCGATAGTCGTCGCATGGAAATCGGCACCGACGATAGGACATCTGACGTCTGCTACTACGAAAGTCCATGGGAAATCTCTGCGCAACCCAAGGAACAATTGAAGACGCTTCTCCCCGAACGTGCGAATGGGGGTGCCGTTGGCTGCAAACAAATTCACTGATGAAGCGCTGCTCGTTTTGCACGAATTACGCAAAAATGACCGCGGAATCTATCAGAAATATGGTGGACGTTACTGGATCTTTAATGGTGAGTCGAGCTAATTGTTGCGGCTCGACGACGGTGAAGGAGCGCTTAGTTTTTTGTATGCGATGATACTGTAAAATTACATGGCTGTCTGCAACTGCGAGCCTTGCGCCCATACCTGGAGTGGAACCAGCACCATTCTGGATGATTGCTCGATTGGGAACGTGGTCGGCTGCGGCCTCTCAATGAACGCCTACCTTGCTGTTGACGGGAGTTCATGTCTAGATCACTCAACCGCTGCTCGATTTAGTCTAAGCGCTGATACACTTTTCTGCTTCGGACCAGGTTCTACCGCTGCCTGAAAACATTGCCGAGATCTGATGATAGTCGCCTGCCTCGCAAATCTTGTCAGCCAATTTGGCTAACTCGCTCAATTCTACGCTTGACGTTTGAAGAATCGCGCGCACTTGTGGTGGCAAACGCTGGAGCCAAAGTGTTTTCAGGAATTCGTCGCTCACCTTATCTTTCGCCAATGTCGTCAGTTCGTTTAGCAATTGAGTAGGCCGACGATCGCCAAGCTGAACGTCTGATAACAGCCGCTGAATTTTACGCTGTTCTGATTCACCATACCATTCGATTATTTGTTTTTTTAGGTTCTCGTACCTGTTTGCTGCTGGCGGATGAAGCACTGCGTCAGCCACGTCGGCTACGATGCTGGACTCTATGGCAGCCACTACGGTGTTGAATCTCGTCATATCGTTGCACACACCTGCTACCGCGAACTCCTCCTCGATCTGCGCGAACCAGATTTCGGGTCGCTCGTGCCAGAACGGAGGCACATTCACCGAAACGCGATTCACCACTGGTGCCGAGTCTTCGCGCTGCTGTCCGAGCGATGCTGCATTCTCATTTTGCACCGACATTTTTTCCTTAGTTTCGCACTGCCACTAAGCCGGAACTCTGCTCACCGAGTTCTGAAAAGAACTTTTTGTATGCTGACGCAATATATTTTTAAGTTCTGAAAAGAACTTTTTGTGTATTGATGAAATATACTCTTAATTAGTGAACAGTTCTGAAAAGAACTGATCACGTCGGGGTCACCAGTTTAGTATATTCCACGCCGTGTGTAACGAACGACTGACTCGTGCACAAGTGCTGTTGCTCTATATATGCATTCATTGCGTGTCCGTGTTTCGTGTCGTTCATATGTTCAAGCATGCACATGTTTGTCTGGTGCTGCGAACGTGCACATGTTTTCTGGTGCTGCAAACGTGCATATGTTTGGCTGGTGCTGCCACAAATCTATTTATCTCAGTTTAATAACTTTATTTCAGTATATAAAAATATTATTGCAACGAACCTTTACTATCCCAACAAACAAAACGACTAGAAAAATGTGTCGTTACAACTATATAGTTGTGATCTACGTAAAACTCGGCTGTCATGCAAGTAACCAGGTTCTTCAACATACGCGTCTATAAAAAGACCATTTGCATCGCAAACTGCCTGCATGATTAAGCTATAGTAATGCTTTCTATGAAATAAGCCTCCTTGCTATGGTGCGGTGCATTTATTTTATTATGTGTGCTTTCTATGCAACCAATCACGAACGGAATGAAAGGAGAAGATTTGCACAGCAATGTGAAAACTTCATTCCAGTAATCATGGGAGAGAGGAATGAGAAAATAAAATTAATACCTAGTGAACTAGGCTCATCTAAATCAGAAAGCAAGGCCATGAACTAGGTAGAAAGGATGATATAGAAGGGTGTACGCTACTTGGTGCTAACCCAGATCCTTAATCTGTGTTAGCTTGGTAGCCAATTTTTATATGTAATGTAGTTTGAGCACTTGTAACCCAAACTACTTGTATTTTCTATTTTGATTAGTTTGAGCACTTGAAACCCAAACTAACCGATGCGAGAAAGTAAGAAAGTTATAATTGATTTTTCTTTTCCTTCTGAACTTTATTAACATTATTTTTTATATTTATACAAAATTATTTTATTAACAAGCTATTAAATTATGCATTAATTGACAATAAATATTAATGCATAATTCACAAATAAATAAATTTGCCTACGCTGTGCTGACATAATTATAGGCCAACATATTACATACTTTCTTCAGTGCATTGACCAACAAGAAAAGCTGATAATGCAAAATTGCACTTTTTGTTGGTCAATGACTGGTCGCAGTGTTGGCCCAAATAATATGTAAACACATGTAACCAAATATCATAAAAAATAAAAATATAAAATAATATGAATTAAATGCAAACATAAACATTCTCCCCGCCGTTGAGTGCCAACTCAACTTGTCCTAGGTTGTGGTCACAGTGAAGTCCAAATTTTGTTGACGTAATTCTGCATTTTGCATATCATTTCCTCGTGTTGAAATTTCGCTTATTGTGTGTTTCTGACATCTGTTGTGTTTGGTTTTCCAAGTAATGATTATGATTATTGTTATAGAAATTAACAACGCCAAATAACTTATCGTATGATGATGAATACTGTTTAATCGCACTCTAGAGGGAAGATATGTCAACTTTTCCTTAGTTAGCCGATTTTGCAATTCTGTGAGTTCCTTGAGTTGTGTTTTTACATCATTTGGTGTTGTATTGAAGATTTTCTGCATCTCATTAATGTGTACAACTGTTGATAAGTTTCCAAATCGTGGAAATGACGTGGATACAGTGCTGGAGATAAAATAGTGGCCATGTATAGTTATTTCTGCGTTTTTAATGATGCACGTAGGTCCAAATGTAAGCATTCCGGATCCTATCAGTGAGAACTGACTTAAGTAGGTCTCACAACTAGCTGACATCAATGTTTCGAATTTTGTTGCGTATAGCCACTGGTTCGGGTTGTGTAGTTGTTTCAATGCAATATTTCCTTGAAGTTTTATTATATTGCATGTTGTTGACTGATTACCATTAAATAGATTAATTTCACATGAATGTACTGATGATGCTATACCTAGTCTTGTTTGTTTATTAGCGCAAAGGTATATATTATCCTTGGTTAAAAAACATTCCCGTAATTCATGGTCATCAAATGGAATGTACTGATCTCGAACAGTGTTGGTTGCCAAGTACTCCACTTCAGTTTTGATAATTATCATAGTTTTGTTTATTACAACCGGTATCGGTGTTGTCTTGAACAATTCAAATTGCTGCTTGTCTAGCAGTGGTAGTTGTATTAAAAATAATACATGCTGATTTTTAGTTGTTGACTTCACTTTCATTAGCTTGTAAAAATCGGTCAAATTGTCTTCTGTGAACGGTAGTGTACGCGATGTTGGTAAGTGGCCTTTGATTCTGTTAATCTCCTTTGTTAATTGATCAGGAGTTAATAGCAGTGGACTGATTTTACCATGATGTGTATCTGTAAGCACATCAATTATCTCCGACTGGATGTGTTGAAGATTGGATACCATTAATGTGAGTTCTGCAGATAATGAAAGTAGTAATTGAGTGACATGTATTTGTTCTGTTGTAGTTCCAATTCTATTCAGAAACTCATCAACCTGCTTTTGCAAATGATTCATTCGGGACTGCATGGTAACTTCATCTCGTTTGATTATATTTATTGTGGAATCTATAATAGATGTTTGATTATGAATTAACTGCATTGCATAATCATCTCTACTGTTAAGTTGGTTTATTGTGTCAGACATGCTCTCAGCGTAGTCTGAATCAAGCACTCCGAATAAGGTGTGTGCAATATTTCCTACTATGTTAATTGCAGCTCGCTTGTTCCGGCTTTTATATAATAATATTTGGTCTTGCAACAATTCATCTCTTACATGTTTAAAATGAGTATAGAGAGAAGTACATGCTGTATGTGCTTGCAATTCTGAACATAAACGTTTGATAGTTTTAGTCCCGTTGTTGAAGGAGTCCATTTCGGTCCAATATGGATGAATATCATAGTAAACAATCATTTTCCATTCTGCCGTTGCTACTTTCATCAAACCAATGGATTCAAAGTATATTCCTAAGTTATTGTCGAAACGTGTTACATTCACTGAATTCCCTAATACCAATGGCAGGAATAATAGAGATAATAACATTGCGCACAGTAATGAATTAGACATTGGCCGTGAATACTTTTTAGGTGGCTCGTCTTGATCTGCGCCTTCGTGTGGTGTTTTCTTGCCTCGGATTCTGTAATGTATCCAAAAAGGTCCGCAAAAGTCCACGCCAGTGGTGAGGAATGGTCGCCCAGGTTGTACTCTTGTCGCTGGCAAATTACCTATCAGTTGTTCATAAAATCGTGGTCTTACTTTAGTACAACGTACACAATGTTGTACTACTGACCTTGCCATCAATTTGCCCTTAATTGGCCAGTATCGTTGACGCATGTTAGCTAGGAGAGACTGCGGACCACAGTGCATGTATTTCTTATGGACTTGTTCCATTATTAATTTGACAATGGGGTCGTTATAAGGCAACAACATAGGATGTTTGGCGTCATACGATAATGAGGCTGCATCCAACCGTCCACCAACTCTTATGATGCCTGTATTATCAATAAAAGGTGCCAGTGATGCCAATGCACTGGACTTATTTATTCTTCCATCAGATTTCATAATTTTGATTTCATTTTTAAATTCTGCATATTGAATGCTTTTGATGATGACCTGATGTGCTGCATCTAGATCATCTGGAGTCAAAAAATTGCTTGAATGATCATTTTGTTTTCTTCTGATTCTTTTTACGAATCTTAAAGTATACGATAATATCCGTTGAAGTCTTCCAAATGAGTTGTTGTGTCTTATTGAATATATGAACTCTCCAGGATTTGCTGTGCCTTCAACAACAGACAATGTAGATACTTGAGTTTCCTTCTTCCGTTCAGGATCAATGAGGGTTTCGGATTTTAATGCTGATGATGGTTTTGAAGGCCACAGTTCTTCCCGACCATGCAGGAACATAGGTCCATAAAACCACATACTTGATGACTGTAGTTTATGGGGTGCAAGGCCTCTTGATAAAATGTCAGCTGGATTGTGTTCCGAACTGACGTGGCGCCACTGACTTGTGGCTGTTAATTGATGAATGTTGCTTACTCTGTTTGCAACGAAAGTGTGAAATTTTGATGATGGAGAGTTGATCCATGATATCACTATTTGTGAATCACACCAAAAGAACGTCTGGTAATTTCTTATTTGTAGGTCGTTCTTTATTCTTGTTGCTAGTTCTGCGCCAACCACAGCTGCACAAAGTTCGAGACGAGGTAATGTCAACCTTTTCAAAGGTGCAACCCGAGACTTAGCGCACAATAGTCGTACAATAATTTGACCATTCTGAAGTGTTGATCGCAAATACGCTGCAGCACCATATGCCTTTTCTGATGCATCTGTAAAGATGTGTAATTGAATGTTGGCAGGAACTTCGCCCTTGAAAATATGACGAGATATCTGTAGACAATTTACTTTCGTCAAATTGTTCCGGAACTCTAACCACTGTTTATGTAATTCAGTCGGCAGTTTTTCATCCCAATCCATCTTTAAATTCCATAATTCTTGAATAAAGATCTTTGCCATCACCACAACTGGTGACAAAAGTCCTAGTGGATCAAATAGCCTTGCTAAATCTGAAGTTGCACTGCGCTTCGTCGTGCTGCAAACAGGTTCCAATTTAACCTTGACGCATAAACTATCAGATTTTGGACACCAGGATAACCCAAGAGTTTTTGTTGTATCGTTATTATTTTCTAAATCTAAATTGACTTCTAAGTCATCGTGTGGAATTCCTTGTAGTAGACTTGGATGATTTGCGCACCATTTTCGCAATTTAAAACCGCTTGCTGTCAGTATTTTGTTTAATTGACTCTGAGTTTCCAACAATGTTCTCAGACTATCTGCCCCGTGTAAACAGTCATCTACATAGAAATTTTGTTTGAGAGCAGATGCACCTA